AGAGAGAGAGAGAGAGAGAGAGAGAGAGAAGAGTCGTAGCCAAGGATGTGTCGTTTAGAATGATTATGTCTTATCCACCACCACTATGATTGCTCATTCGACAGTACTAGTTTTTGAATAATTCTATCATTGAGGTTATATTTAATTTTCATCAGTGTAGCTACACAAACCAAACAACAATCATCCTGCAACCACTACAATAATGTCCTTAATTCTCAGGAATTTGAGTACGTAAATACAAGTTCATGCAGAACACCTCAGTGAAGTCTCATCTTCACATCAAGATGTGTGTGGAGCCAAATTGATAGTGATAAAAGTATGTACCACATGATTCGAGCTGGTATTAAATACCTTATGAACTACTTTGTCCTCAGAATGGCTTGCAGGGTAGCACAAAACTGCTTAATTTATTGTACCTGCAAAACCAGCATGTTTACCGTAAGCCGACTCAAATACCAAACAACAATATGTAGATACATGTCAAAGTGTTATTGCTTTTTAAAGTTCTTTTTCCAGCAGACCAGTGGTTGTTACCTGCATCAGTATGTAAGGTACGGCTAGAATCATAGTATAGAGGAACCAGAGGTCAATACATTATCAAAACCATAGCTTGCTTATTTTACAGAAGCAAGGAAAGATACACTTCCAAGTAACCGGAAGTTTAATATTGCACCAATATTTCAAGTCTTGGAGATAATAAGATATCCAGCAATCATCCTTTGAGCGGTCTCCCAGTCAGGAATTGAATTCTATGCTAGTATGCAAGGCTTGTCTCATGACTTGATCCCAATGGCAACAGAAAAGTCAACAAATGGAAGGAAGACCCCGATCAATTTATCCTCACATTGTAGTTTGTCTTAGATAATCACAGGTCATAAAAGGGATGAATTAACCAGTCTAAGATCATTAAAATTTAATATCTTTGTATGGATATTTGAAAATTGTCTTTGTATTTGTCTATATCAAATTTCACCTACAGATTCTTTCGATTATCAAAATTGTGCTAAAGAGTATCCCTCAATTCAAAGAATTCATCTCAAGCTTTCAGATACTTTCTTTATCTTTCATTTGAGCCAATTATTCCTTCAATTAAAACATTTCAGATATCAGTGTGTATGTCGCAATCACGTACAAGATGTGTGATCTTATAGCATTCATGTATGAGAAGTGTTATCTAAATTATCAAAAAAAATACTTGTTAGACAACAATGTCTACGTCAGTGCAGTCATTTGTAACAACCCTACACAAAACTTTGATCTATAGTCCTTATGGTCATTACTCAGCAGGCTGATGTAGCAAAATATCTAGGCTCCACTTTGAACTATAGTTTTCAATCATTTCTGTAGAAACAATATTCATGATAGATGTGGAGTTATGGAAAATATTAATAGATTAATGTTTGTTTGGTTTGGATTCCAACTATGCTAAAAGGTAGATGAAGATGACTGTGAATCATTTGCAGAATGGTTATTTAGATGATGGAATGTGTTTCATGATGCTCAGAAGGTTTTAACGATCCTATGGTTTCTGTGGAGACACAGAACAAATTAATATATGCATGTAAGAACTCATTGCCTCATCACCACGTAATCAACAAACGTGTTTTTTTGTTGCAAGAGTATCAAAGGTTGAATGAGGCAAACAAAGCACCAACTGCTGGAAACATAGTTTCTCAGGAGTAAACTTGCAGCAGGATTTTACAAAATTAATGCAGATGCAACATTATTTAATGATGCGTGATCATGATATAAAGCAGTTTGTCATGATATGAATGGAGTGCTTATGTTACATACAGAAAAGTTTATTGTAACTCATGCAGAGGAGGCAGCAGCCGTAGCTTTGAGGTGTATTGTACATTTTGCACTGGAAATTAGTCTGAGATACATCAAAGTATGATCTGAAAGGGCACAAAGATCACATCTTCTGTAGATGTTATTCCCAATAAAATTACTATTAAGAGGTGTGGATGTTGGGATTATGGATATAAGTGTAATCTTGCTGCAAATTGAGATGTGAAACTGTCCAAGACTGCAACGTAGGATGTCATTTCAAGATCAATAGATTCAGTTGACCTCAAAAAGACTCCTGTACGTGATGATGCATTATACTAAAGAATTCTGCTTCCATAGAAGAAAAGTATTCGCGATTGACAATCAATAGTTGCACTACATAGTTTTTGCGCAAGCAGCCACAGTTTTGAAATAATTTCATGTGGACCTTAGACAGGTCTTTCTGAAATAAAGAAAGAATAGGGCATCCTGCGCCACAGATCCTCTTATAAACAAAACACCAGCATGCAGTACTCCCTAAATCGATACAGTTTATAGAAAATTATGCCCTATTCAAAGATGGAATTTTTAATATCACAAACAATTAACTAATGTTTCGGATAAGTTTACGAACTTCATTGAACATAATCCAATCTGTTCACTCTCTATCAGACATGGAAGCTACCCAACTTCCGGCTACTTCATGAAACCAAAATCAATCCTTCTATAGCGAATTGAGCGTATCCAGCAATAAATCGACAAAAAAAAGTAACTGGAGCTTAAATCTTTCCCCAAAATTATAACGATTAAATTCATCGAAACCCCATCAAATTTCACACAGATTCAGTACCTGTGGATCGGAGGCGTCATAAGCTCCTCACCTCCATGACGCTCTTTGCACTGGGAGCGTACAAGGTGTACACAGACGCCTGCCGCTTCGCGACCTCGAGCTGAGACGTCCCCTCGGCGAAAGCCGCGGCGATCGCGGACGGATCTGAGAGTTCCTTGTTCTCGCGGAACCCGTCGACCGCCCTCCTCCTCGCGTACTCCCTGATGTTGTAGTCGCCGAACTTTCTCGCCGTTTTCAGGAGCGATCGGAGCAAGGAGAGTACTTCCGCCCTCAATGGAACCGACGCCACCGCCATGGAAGCCAAAACCGTTCCAATTTAGAGCTCGAATCGGGGAAGCTCTAATCGGCAGAAGTTAGGGGAAAAAGATTGTAACGGTATCTTATGCCGTTATAATTATTATAACAAATCGGTATAAATTCTCGACCCGATACGAACCGAACTCGAGTTTAACAGACGTTGGCTAAAACCATATGGATTTGGGTTTGATTTGAGCTTATACGCTTGACACAATTGGGGCCCAATTGACCCAAATAGCAACCGAGTTAGGCATGTTGAGTACATATCATTGCGGATTAAGATGTCAATAACATCATGTTTGAGGCTTATTGTATTATCTATCACTACTAAATTTATTAGATTCTATACCATCAAATAAATCAGTAGTACCAAAGAAATAAAAATGGTAGCAAAAATTAGCATGGAAACTTAATCTGATAAAGTAATGAATTGACTTAGATATGATCCCATCCAATTTGAGCATGCTTGAATTCTACATCTCTTGTTTGATCCCTATGTATGGTTTCATGCTTGTTATTAGTAATTTTGTTCCTTGCATATATACACAGAAAAGGTAAAGAATTCATGCACTAGCTGATATCAAAATTCTTACATCTCACTGACACAGAGAGGTGGCAAAAAGAAAGCAATTTATTTGTTTCACATCTCTGAGAGTTTTTGGGACCATCAAAACATATTAAGATAGACACAAACAGCAATCAAATATGTGCCCAACACAATCTGTACCACTGACACATCTTCCTCATGCAAAATCTGTAAGCCTTGCAAGCCAAATCCATCTATCTAAAGTTTTTTTCCATCTCCATACTACACCTGTACATAAACTTCACCAGGATCCTCAAAACAAAGCCATTTAACTAAATTGGAAAGGAAAGAATGGAGGGTGATAGCATCATGAACACTTTTTGACCAAGTATCAGAAAGTAATCAGGGAACTGCAACTAGTGGAGCTACTTTGCTTTCTTGAAGAGAGATAATGGTTTCGAAAGCACCAACTAAGGCCTTAACTTTGCTCTTCCTAGACTCAACAAGCTTGCTTGCAGTTTCCTCGATCACATTATTGAACAAACCTTGGGTGTCTTTCTTATCATTGACATCTTGATGTCTCAAGACAACATTAATAGCATCCGAGAGAGAAGCACTTGGTCCTACGCCATCTGATTCCATCCTGTTTCTAAAGCTCTCTGTCGCTATTTCTTTAGCCTTCCGATTGTCACCTACAGTCTGAACCTGCCTGAATCTGAGTCTCCTCGGAGGATTATTATTGTTTTCAGGCTGAAGGTTAACCATCTTACTTCTGCTGAAGTTTGACTTACGAGATGTGCCAATTTTATATTCTGAGTTAATACCAGTATTCCTTTCAGGAGCACTTTTTATTTCACTTTCACAAACATCTCTGTAGGTTCTCTGAGATGCACCTCTGTGCAAAACAGTTTCACTAGATCCGCCCAACTGAGATCCAGATTCCTTGAGCTCTTCATTCCTGTCTGGATGTGATCTGTGTTTTCGGAGTTTTTGCCTCAAGGCTTTCAGGTCAATTTTCTCCAAATTAGGCTCAAATGCACGGATAGTTTTATCCTTGAGACCAAAATTTCCAGCCTTTGCTTGATAATTCGTGGTGAAAGAAGGGATTACTTTCCTGTATTTTCTCAGCTTCATGCTTGATACCCTAGAAAGCCGAGACTTGGTGGATGGAAGGGTTGACAGTGATTCAAATGCTTTTTCTTTGCCCCCATTAGACTTGTCTCCAACCTTGATTATCTTCTCCCGGTACCTTGGATCAAATAGTCCTGTTGAAGAAATGGATGCAGGTGAAGATTTTACCAAGACCTTCAACTTTAAAGATGTCCCACCTACAAATGATCTATCAACCAGACTCTTGGAAGGGGGTAAGGTTGCCTTCTTCATTACTCTGGGTGTGGCAGATAAAATGTTGCTCTTGAAACATGATGGATGCTCTTGCTCAGACTCCAACCTGATTGATTTCATTGTTTTCCTTGCTGCAAAATTCTTCTTGACACATTTTGGTCCAACGGCTATATCACATTGTTCCTCCTTTATGACTTTATGTCCATTAGAGCCTCCAGTTTCCTCATTTCTCTTCAGCATGTTCAACTCTCTCTTTGTTTTGTCGCCTATTCTTGAACTCCTCACCTGAATCTGTTTCTTGGCGAATCCTGCTTGATCAATTGGTGTGTTCATGGTAGATGTGGAGCTTTTTTGAGATGGTGGAGTCTTTAGCTTCATGCTCAAAGCTTCCTTAGGTAATGCTTCTGCTCGATAGGCAGGTCTGCACTTAGCAGATGCCTTGCTCTTATGATTCAGCAATTTCAGACTTGATGGCCCCTCAGATGATCCAGGAAGAGCCTTCACCCCAATGTTCATTGATTTATTAGATGATTCATCTACTCCATTGGCCATTTGATACTCAGCAAATGCAATATCATCTACGATGGGAGATGCAATCCTCAACTCCATGCTTATCTGCTCCAACGATGATCCTTCTGTTGCTTTTTCTGCTTTATGCTCAGAAGAAGCAAAGTTTTCCTGAATTGTTGACGAAATCATAAACTTTATACTTACAGGTTCCTCGGATGAACCTTCCACCTTAGTGATGGGTATACACTGTTCAACAGCAACACCATTCTGCAAGGTTGGTCTATCGAGTTTCGTGATTGCAGATTCACAGAATAATCTTCTGGATTCATGCTCATCAGATGCAACATCCATAAATTCCTCTGATAATTTTTCATTTTGATTTGCAGCTGAAAGCTCAAAAGATGCATTATTTTCTCGGTCATGTACTGTAGAAATATGCTTCAAGCTTGAGGATTCGTGAACAAATCCTGCTGCTAGATTGGTAAGGGAACTGGAAGTCCGAATTATCATCTCAGGTGGAAGATCCATCTGCTCACTGAGTCTAGTCTTATCAGTGAGTTCATCTTTTGTGTTAGTTGTCCTTGGCTTGAGCTCTGATTTGTGCTTTCTCTGATTTACAGTCATGAAATGTGATTGATTGTGTTCGCCATCAGGCATCTGGCTATTGGTTGAAGCCCCTAGGAAAAAGTGATGCCTTTTCTTTTCTTCATATTCATGCTTAAGTCCATATTTACAGAAATCATGGCAAGAACCTGTAGAAGGTCTTAAGTAGCGAGAAAGAATCTTCCCATCAGTATTTAAAGGATATGGTGTAGTAATGCTATCTGTTTCCACTGTTGCAGTTGTCCATTCTGCTCTTTTAGGCTTTACTACTTCAGGAATTACTGAACTAAATTCTGTCACTTGACTCATTTGAATTATAAATATAATGTGACTTGTGTCTTGACTTCTGCAACAAATAGGCAGGATTATGAGCACATAATAAGACAGACTAAGAAACATACCCAAGGAAGAATTATAGCGGCCAGACGAATTATAGAGTCACTTATGTTGCATTGGATACTACACTAAGACACAGGGCAAAACTTCACAGCAATAAATAATCTATTCTGGGAAGATGATCATGCAAGAGACTCAGTGCATCGTCAGTGATAAAGGAAAAAGCTATTAGTTTACAAAGAAACAACTTAATAAATTTGACAGAAAGTTGCATAAAAAATGATAACTATGCTTTGAGTGCAAGAAGCATGTTCTTCGGTTTATTGTAAAATTATTATGCATTACCATACATCCCTAAGGAAGGAACCCTTTCCTTTCATACCTTCCGGTTGAGACCTATTAGTTATATAAAATATCAAACTCAAACAGAACTAAACTTACAACTTAACATATACATATTAAAACTCCATTTTCCACTAACAATTGCATGACTTGTTTTTGTAAGATGACCGAAAAAAATAGTAAGTGCTTGTAGAACTAAAGAAACAAGCATTAGCATTAATCATATGTATTGCATGTAATAGGAATAAGCCTGAATAAATTTAACCCTCCCTAAACCTCACATTGGAAGAAGTTTCATGCATTGAGCAATTCTTTTTCCTATTAAATGTACTCTCCAGACCTAAAGACATTTAAAATGATAGCTACAGGCAGCCACGGATCATCTTACATCTTCTACTCATGCCATTTCCAGACTTCTTTTTAAAAGAAAATAAAAAATCGCTTAGATAGAAGTACTAACACAATTGGAGCATAAAGGAAAAGAGGCATATTTCTCCATCTTGGAGAAAATTACTGCCCCAAATTTGGCTCCAGCCAGTATCTGATGAGAGCTCCATTTGGATTCATAAAAAGTATAGGTCCTCTAAGCCGATAATTGATGCATACATGAAGTTTGCCATGTTGCTAACTCTAAATCTGAAGGCTAACATGAGTCTCGATATCTCTCAGGACTCTTCATCACCCAGAAGTATAATTCCACGCAGTTGGCACCAAGAGAGATGGCCATAATATCAAAAGATCGAGTACTCGCCCGAAAAGCAAAGAAGAACAAATGGCTGCAACGTATTATAAATTTTAGATATTTCATGGTCATAGTCGAAAGCTTTTGGTTAGCATTTGATATTCCCACAACGATATCAACACTTCCATCCAAATCCATTAAAGCAACAACAGAACGATAGGAAATCGAACAGAGCGTCGACAACCAAGCAAGAGACTCACTCAGAACCAATGCGATCAAGAACAAGAACGACGAGGAACCTCGGAAAAGCAGGAAAAGCGAATCAAATACGCGCCTTTTCAATCGAACGAGAAACAGGCAGGTGAGAGACCACAGCTAAAAAGCCGAGAGATGGGCACCGATATCGCACCCTATGAGGATTCCCGGCCACCAGAAAGCGAGTAGAAGAGGATCCGGTCTCCCCTCTGGTGGATCTTGTGTGGGGCGACGGCGATTTCGGCGGATTCTGCAGGACGCGTGGTTTCTCTTCTGGAGAAACACGGTGAGACAGAGCGAGGAACGGCGAAGAGGGGGCCACCGACCCCACTTGACAGGGTCCCACGAGTGAGGAAGGTATTTTTGATGTTTACCGCGTTCTAATTAAGGACAGGCAAAACCATATGATACCCCAAACCAAACGGCCGATGATGACACAGTGTTTCGGTGAAATGTTGCGGTTGAATATTCTCAACATATATATATATATATATATATATATATATATATATATATATATATATATATATATATATATATATGATAGAAAATAATAATCTAGCAATGTTTAATATCATATAATAGCTTAATCCAAATCAAATCGAACCATTAGGGTTGAATGGAATTATTAGTTTCTAATTGGATTAAAATAAGATAGATCCGAATCAAAATACAGTATAATAAAAAAAGTGCATAAAGAATAATTATATAAAGAACACTAAACTTGGAGTGAATACTGCCTTGACTTGTTTATTTCTGGAAGTTGACATTGGTTAGCTCATAGAACTGACTAATGTTCTTGTAGATGTAGTTCAAATGATGTCAACTTTTATGATCAGTTGTATGTTCCAAAATTTACCTTACTACTAAATGATTGTTAACTAGTTAAAGTGTTAGATAATAATATAAAAAATAAAAAAGGCTAATGTAAACAAATAATCTAAAAGCTACTCAATGAAGTGATTCCGCAATAATGCTAGTTTTGACCACTAAATATTCCATATCGATCGATTCATAGTGTCTCGGACCATTTAACCATCACAATTAGAAGATCTATTAGTACTCTTAATGTATACATATTAATTATATTCTACTATAATAATAATAATAATAATAATATATTTTTTAAGGACTAAAAAGAGGAAAAAAAAGAAGAGGGTTTCTTTAAAAAGCACACGCCACCTAGTCCATCGTACCTACAAGATTACCCGCCACTTGTGCCCTCTTGTCAGCTTGCGGGCCCCACGGAAGTCGCGAAGTTAGAATTCGTGGACGTACGGAATATGTTCTGATATACGACTCTATAACAATTATAAATAATTGTTAATGGGAGCTTATTTTTTCCCTTAATAGAAGAAGGGCTTTGGGTTGCGCCGCGCCCAAAACTTGGGACTTTTGATGTCGAGGCGGACTGCCTTCCTCCACCTGAAGCGCCTACTGGGAGCGTCGAGGTCGCCCCTTCCTCCGCCGCCGCGCTCCGTTCTTAGGTCTCCCGCGCCCCCTCCGCTTCTGCAGAGGCGCAGCTGTTCCTCCTCGCCCCTCCTGAGCTTTTTCTCCGGAAACACGGCGGTTTCTGATGCGTACGAAAGCAATCTTTTTCCCGTGCATCAGGGGCACGGAGAAAGACGCCTAGGGGAGTCGCAGGCGGAGGAGGAGGTGGCGAAGTACATCCCGGTCAAGGCCTTCTTCCTCTCTACTAGGTGTCCCTTTAATCTTTCCAATCTCGTTCTTTCTTTTGTTACTTTTAGTTCTTTTCATCTGCAATTATCTGCTTTAGTGCTCATGGACTTTTTTGCTTGAAAAGAACTGATCTTGTTGTGTAATTTGTTGTTTAGGTTCTACTGTTTTTCCTTTTCCTCTCTTCTTTGGTATGGAATTCTTATTTACTGCCAATATTCCAGAACTTAATGATAATGTCATGCTTTACAATTTCTTAACATGTTGGTAATTATTTAGGACGCTCTGCTATTTTGTATGTGTCAACTATTGTAGAGGTTTCTGAGAATGATTTGTTTTGGCAGCATTGATCTGAAGAGCCTGCAGACCGAGAATTCAAGTGATGTAATTCCTCCGACTTCTAGATCATCTAACTGTGTTGCTCTGCGCTACAATGATTTCCAGCCTGAAACATCAGTAAGATCGATTGTCTAATCTGCTTACATGTATCTTACATTGCGTAATCATTCTTGAAGAAGCACTTTATTGATTCTTGGCATTATGATATTCCCTCAATGTTTCATTCAAGATGTTATTCAACAGAAGTTTGTGATGCTTTATGGTGATCTGCATACTTGACACTAGTTTAATGGGTAACTTCTGTATTATTTTCTCACATCTCTGATTTATACCACAATCTTCCTATGATTTCTGATGCAACCATCTATGTAACACCGTGGGTTAGTCTCATGCATATATCATGTATGAATTTTTAAGGTTTTTGTTCGTTGATTATCTTTTTGACATGCTCAAAGTGATACTGCAAGGGAAAAATGCTCACCCGTGGCCTTTTTTTGTATTATATCCTCAAGTCTCAAAATGATGGTCGTATGCAGACTTCCGCCAATATGTGACCTGCAGAGGGTCCATGCAAACAACCTCATTCCTGCAAGCAAAGAGGTTATTTTTGTGACTTGGTTCCTAGTCACTTGGATGGCGTAAGAGCTATCTTACTGCAGCCCCAAAGCTGGTTCTGTTAAAATTTTAAATCTGCAAACAACAATCGTACTTATAATTTGGGTTATTTTGGGCAGTTTGTGTCCTTGTGCCTACAATATGCTAATATTACAATATATATTTTATTATATGCAATATGATACATCACTAAAAATCTATTATTCAAGTTATGCACCCTTAGCATATAAGTCATACATAACATGGTTTGTCTTACCGATCCGTATTAGTGTACCGACCTGTCACATACTTAGTTGGTTTTGCCTAGGTCGTGCGGCACTTTTGTGTGTCCATTCCCCAAGGGTCAGCCTCCCCGAAACCTCTCATGGTCCCTTAAGTACTTGTAAAAAAGAAGACGGGTTAGAAGAAGCGTTTAACTTAGGATCCCACAAGCAATCATTTCAGCAAACACTTGATAAGCAATGCAAATTACAAACATAGACTTCGCAAGCTCTGAATGGTCATGTGACAAATGGTCCAAGGTGGTTCACCGTGGCCAAAAGTCATCACAAGTGCCCATATAATACTGTTTTGGAACAAGACAGCGAACCAGCCCTAGACACTACCCCAAAGGCCTATTTAGTCATGTGCCACCCGGGTAGCTCCCGGGCGTTGTGCTGGCTGACACTTCGCACCACTCTACGGAGCTAGAAAACCCTCAAAATTACTGCTTGGATGGCCTGTTTCTTGATAGTTTTGCCTCTGTGCGACGACTGCACACTACCTACATTTACAAGCCTCAAACGGCCAACAAGCCAACCAAAATGAGACTATCAAATCTAGTGCAAGCCCTTTACATGCTGTGCAAAGCATGAACAAAACCGAAAGACACGGACATACACAAACATTACATCGAACACCCTGCTTACAGCTTTGTTTGTGACAAACCGACTGTCGGTATGGTACGTACCAATGTACCGACACATGATACAGTAGGTTGTACCAATGTATTGGTATGTATCGCCTATAATGATCCCCTATTGGACCGGTGCATACCGCTTGTACTGATCGATATACCATGGTATGACAAACCTCGATACATAACATATAAATTTTATATCATATGTTGTAAAATATGATTCATATTTAGCATGATCTAATAAATTATAGTCTGGTTGGTATGTCCTGGTTTGAACAGTAAAGTTATGGTATATTTTTTAGTTCTTAATTCTTATAAATTTATTTCTTTGCAGGACAGTGTGGTCAAAGAAAGTGTACATTATCGCCATGTGATTGTATTCCAATATGGTTCTGCCGTGTTGTTCAACATTGCAGATCATGAAGCTGAGCGGTACCTAGATATAATCCGGAAGCATGCATCTGGATTGGTACCAGAGATGAGAAAGGATGGTAAGCTTATACAAGAAATCATCAGTCTTTCATTTTCATGAATGTTTGAACTTATAACTAGTAAGTTAATTGTTGTCATTGGTTGATTGTCATTTGACCGGCATTTTCGATGCCCTCCAGTTACATATATAGTATTTTCCTAGAAAAAATGATTAGCCTTGATTGAAGCTAAAAAGGTGATCAAGTATAGTGGTTGATTTTAGATGTTTGTGGAAAGCAATGGGAGGACAAATATTTAAGGTCATTCAGTTATAGGCTTATGTTCATATATGGGTTGAGAAATAGTGTAGACTCACAACCTGTTAGACTTGTAGAAGTTGAGTGTAGCTCATGAGATGAACACTGTTAGGGCTTTAGACAAATTGCACTGCATAAGTATGGAAAGGTGGGAAATTTGGTTTGAGTTGGTTACTGAGCCATCTTAATGAGACATCGAAAGTTATTATTATATTAATAGTAAGAAAAAACACATGACACCTTTCAATATAGCTTGGCATCACATCTTTCAGCTCCATCTGCAGTTGACGTATACTCTTCTTTGGTAGATTTGATTCTGGGTATTTTACCGTGCATATTTTGTAAAAGACTTTTAATCTTGTTAGATTATTCCCTTCACTTTTTTCTCTTATGTCCATTTTGGTTGGAAACAATTTCCCTAGAAGTGCAAATATCTATAGAATTACATCTTCAATAGAATCTGAAAAAGAATTTTCAGCTTATAAAGTTTAGCCGCTTTATGTTGCATGATCAGATTATGCTGTAGTTGAGAAGCCATCATTGGAAGCATGGATGGAAGGAGGTCTGGACTATATAACTCTAAAATGTTTGGATATTGATGGAATACGCATAATTGGAAGTGTACTAGGTCAAAGCATTGCTCTCGATCATTATGTACGACAGGTACTCATGCATCACAAGCCCCTTAAGTCTTTCGGACATCTATTTTCTACTAATTTTAGAATGATGTCTTGCTCAAGCAAGTTAGGTAAATTCATTTCTTGATTGAGCGAAGAAAGTATGGTGTGAAGATTTTGATGTTATATGTCTTCTTTGTTTTTGCAGGTCGATGATATGGTTGAGGAATTTACAGACATTAATCGTGGCATGGAGAAGACTGGAACTTTTAACATGAACAGGAATAAACTGTTCCAACTTGTTGGAAGGGCAAATTCTAGTCTTGCTGATGTGATTTTAAAGCTGGGCCTTTTTGATAGGTAAGTGCATTCCAATTGAAGGAACTTTGATGCAACTTATTCATCATGGATATTGTGCAAATATCATAAGATACAGATACACATGCAGAAGTTGCAATATAGATACAATATCATAGATATAAAATGTTGTACATATTGTAATTCGACATAAGTATATTTTTGGAATAGATAGTTCACGACAAGTAATAAGTAATTAACTAGTGTTCCTACAATTTTCATTATTAAAGTTAGAATTTACTAATATTATGTCTTAAATGCAGAAGAGATAGCAAGAACATAAGATAAGTGAATTTCATTGTTTTAGTTATATTAATAATTGATACAAACACCATATAAATAATTTGTTTAATCATACACCCTTCTCCATGATAAAAGAAATCAACATTAAAGCAAGACAGTATTTTCAGGAAGTATTCATGAGTATGCTTGAAGTATCTAATATTTTTTTATAATAATGTAGTAAACTAGATACATTTTTCAAGTATCTGAAAAATATAATGGAAATATTCAATCTGAAAAATGTACCCGGTATGGAGATGGCAAGGAATTTGAAGACTATCTGTGTTACATAGGATGCAACATTGAGATTTGGTATAGCATTTTAATTGCTAGATCTCATGGAGGAAATAGCATGACAGATAATAAGTTCTGCTAATTTAGTTTCATTGTATTATTGTATTTAAACAAGCAACATGATGTGCATGTGGATGTATCTCGATATATCGGTTTTCAGTACCATGTACATGTATCTACATCTCTGAGAATTTTACGTATATGACTGAAACATATCCAGATCTTTTAAAGTCAGTTAGATGGTTTTTCAGTCTCTATTTTTGCATGA